TGGGGTTGGTTGTGCTGATACTACACTCTGCACTCTTTTGTGCAGATCCTAGTGTTGTAGACTTCAGACTGCAGTGAGGGTGCTGCCTTCAGTCCAGCAGGCAACCCGAGGTAGTCCTGCAGGCGTCCGCATGCCTTGGCGTCACCTCCTATTTTTCCTTTATCCTGTTTCCTTTACTTATTTCAGAAATAGTGTATATTTTATCTTTCAGAATTTGTATGTAGTATTCTTAGATCGTCTGTGAAACTGTGACACCAAATTTTGGGTAGAGTTGTATTTAGGCTTTCGCAGTTCGTATTAAGATAAATTATCAGATTTTGTCTTCCGCTTAATTATTTCCGCTATTTGCATAATATCTACTCATCACTGATAATGTTTAAAACTGAAAAATGTTAAGTAATTAGAATAATTTGGCTTGCCTAGGTTTCACCAATAGGCGCCATCACGACTCCCGATGGTGAAAAATTCGGGTCGTGACAATATGTATGTATATATACACACACGTAATGTGACTATTTTGATACTCACAAGGGTATAAATCAACATAGAATAATGTGCATTTACTCATTTTGTTTATTCTCGTTAATCCCGATTCTTAAAAAGAGAAACAAAATACCAAAAACAGCATACACTACTAGAATAATGCAAATCGCCCATTGATATTTCCTACGAAATATTATCAGTGGTAATTTTCACCAAAAAAATTGACAAAATCAGCATGAAAGTGGGGAGAAGAAAATTTTATCAAAATTTCAATAGTTCTTACAGGCTCTTCGTTTCCCACCCATTTATGTTGGAATATTATTGGAAATTAATTACATAAAATTAAAAAGAAATTCTCAAGGAAAACGGGGCAAACTAAAAAAAATTGAATAGTTTTTATATTCCCACAGATTCTCAAGGAAAGTAAATATTAATATAATTTATATTTTTGCTAATAAGGATTTCCCACATTCTTAGGTCACACATGCTTCTTTTCTTTTGTCACATTCATAGCCTGTTTGGCCAAACTTTTTTTGTGTTCAAAAATATATATTTTTTGGCCAAAATTTTGAGTTGTTTGGCCAAACTTTTAGATGGAAAAAAGTGCTTTCGGGGAGAAGTAGAAATATTTTTTGAGAATTAGAAAAAAGTAGCTTCTCTCCAAAAATATTTTTTTGAGAATCATTTTTGAGAAAAATACATTCAGAATTAGTTTTTAAAAGTTTGGCCAAATACTAATTACTGCTTAAAAGTACTTCTCAAATAGATTAGCCAAATAGAAACTGTTTCTTACCAAAAACAACAACAACAACAACAACAACTGCCCAGTAAAATCCCATATAGTGGGGTCTGGGAAGGGTAATGTGTACGCAGACCTTACCCCTACCCTGATAGGGCAGAGAGGTTGTTTCCGATAGACCCTCGGCTCAGAAAGACGGAAATAAAAAAAAACAAGAAAAGAGAATTCATTAGTAACTCCAGTAGAAACCGTAATAGTAACAGAAGTATAGAAACCAAAAGATGAATGACATGCAATAACAATAACTAGAGTCTAAGGCCCGGGGCTAAGATAAACAACAAGAATAGTATGGGTTCAACATAAACTGCAAGCCATCTAAGATCAACCCTAATCCAATCCCGCCTTACCCTCGGTATGAAGTAAGGAAAGCTTAACTACCCCTATCCTACAACCCTAATGTTTGACCTCCAAGCCTTCCTATTAAGAGCCATATCCTCGGAAATTTGCAGTTGTACCATGTCCTGCCTGATCATCTCTCCTCAATACTTCTTCGGTCTCCCTTTACCTCTTCTCATACCCACCACGGCCAACCACTCACACCTCCTCACCGGGTGCATCAAGGTTTCTCCTCTGCACGTGCCTGAACCATCTGAGTCTCGCTTCCCGCATCTTGTCATCCACAGGGGCGACGCCCACCTTCTTCCGAATATCTTCATTCTTAATCTTGTCTATCCTAGTGTGCCCGCACGTCCACCTCAACATCCGCATCTCTGCTACTTTCATCCTCTAGATATGGGAGTTCTTAACCGATCAACACTCTGCCCTATACAATATGGCCAGTCTAACCACAACTCTATAAAACTTACCTTTGAGTATCGGTGGCACTTTCTTGTCACACAAGACTCCAGATGCAAGCCTCCATTTCATCCAGCCCGCCCCTATGCGGTGAGTGACGTCCTCGTCGATCTCTTTGTCCCCTTGAATCATCGACCCAAGGTACTTGAAGCTATCTCTCTTGGGGATGATCTGTAACCCAAGCCTCATGTCCCCGCCTACTTCCCTCGACTCAGCGCTAAACTTGCACTCCAGGTACTCTGTCTTAGACCTGCTCAATTTGAAACCCTTGACTCGAGAGTCTGTCTCCAAACCTCCAATCTCTCGTTAACACCGACCCTCGTCTCATCAATTAAAACTATGTCATCGGCAAATAACATACACCATGGCACCTCCCCTTGAATATGGTGTGTTAAAGCATCCATCACCAAGGCAAATAAGAACGGGCTAAGCGCAGAGCCTTGGTGTAAACCCATAACAACCGGGAAATGCTTCGAGTCGCCTCCCACAATCCTAACCTTAGTCTTAGCTCTATCATACATGTCCTTGATCACTCTTATGTAGGCTACCGGCACGCCCTTCGCCTCAAGACATCTCCAGAGCACCTCTCTAGGAACCTTGTCATACGCTTTCTCCAAGTCAATAAACACTATGTGCAAATCCTTCTTCTTATCCTTGTACTATTCCACCAACCTCCTTATAAGGTGGATAGCTTCCGTAGTGGAACGGCCCGGCATGAACCTAAACTGATTGTCGGATATAGACGTCGTCTTCCTCACCCTCACCTCCACCACCCTCTCCCAGAATTTCATGGTATGGCTAAGTAACTTGATACCCCTATAATTGTTACAACACTGGATATCACCTTTGTTCTTATACAATAGTACCACTGTACTCGACCTCCATTCCTCCGGCATCCTCTTCATCCTAAAAATTACATTGAACAACTTAGTCAGCCATTCTAATCCTGCTCTACCCACACACTTCCAAAACTCAATCGGAATATCATCTGGCCCAGTCGCTCTACCCCTACTCATCTTACGCAAAGCCCCCACGACCTCCTCCACCTTAATGCGCCTGCAATACCTAAAATCTCGGAGACTCTCCGAATGCCCCAAGTCCCCTAGCGCTATATCCCGATCCCCCTCCTTATTTAGAAAACCATAAAAGTACGTCTACCATCTCTGCTTAATCTGGGACTCTCCCTTCAATACTCTACCATCCTCATCTTTGATGCACCTTACTTGGTCCAGATCCCAGGCCTTCTTGTCCTTGCTTTAGCCAGCCGAAACAACTTCCTGTCCCCGCTTTTCTCCCCTAATTCCTCGTATAGATGGCTAAACGCTGCATTCTTAGCCTCTGTGACCGCCAGCTTTGCCTCCTTCCTAGCCACTTTGTACCTCTCTATATTCGTTCTCCTCTCCTCCTCGCTTGTGCTCCCTGCCAACTTCGTGTATGCTAACTTCTTCGCCTCCACTTTACCTTGGACTATGTCATTCTACCACCAGTTTCCTTGGTGCCTACCAGAAAAACCCTTCGATATACCTAGCACCTTTCTTGCTACCTCCCTCACATAGTTCGCCGTCGTTGACCACATAGTGCTCGCATCTCCACTACTCCTCCAAGCTCCCATAGCGGCTAACCTCCCTTCCAACTCCTGGGCTTTATCCTTGTTTAAAGCTCCCCATCTAATCATCGGTCGGCCACGAGCATGCCTCTTATTCATTTTCATCATAATGCTAATGTCCATCACTAAGAGCCTATGCTGAGTCGCGAGGGTCTCTCCCGGGATAACTTTTCAATCCTTGCACAACCCTCTATTACACTTTCTGAGGAGAAGGTAATCGATCTGAGTCTTCACCGCTGAACTTCAGAAAGTAACCAGGTGCTCCTCCCTCTTTGGAAAAGTAGAGTTCGCAATCACCAGCTCGAAAGCCTTAGCGAAGTCTAACAGCGAAGTACTTCCTCCGTTCCTATCCCCACGGCCAAAGCCACCATGCACCTCGCCATAACTACCAACAGCCGCCCCAATATGGCCATTAAAATCCCCTCCAATAAATAACCTTTCAGTAGGTGGAATACTACGCACAATCTCGTCCAAGCCCTCCCAAAAGCGCCTCTTAACCTCCTCATCCAAGTCCGCTTGCGGTGCGTAAGCGCTAACTACATTGAGGGTGCACTCACCAATCACCAACTTAATAAACATTAAACTATCATTCACTCGCCTAACCTCAACCACAGACTCTCTAAGATCCCTATCCACCAAGATACCCACTCCATTCTTACCCCTCACGACTCCAGAGTACCACAACTTATAACCATCTGCATTCCTCGCCTTCGACCCTGCCACCTAGTCTCCTGGACACAAGCTATATTAACCTTTCTCTTCTGGAGAATCTTTTCCAACTCAATAGACTTACCCGTCAGCGTGCCTATGTTCCACGACCCGATCCTCAATCTACAAGCTCCCTCTTTCCCCTTACCCTCCTTTCCTCTCGTCCCAACCCCTGACCTCCTCCCCACCCCGCTTCTCACCCTCGGCACCCCTCGAGGACATGACCTTACTCTACCATCCCACACCACAACCACTATACCTACAACAAACTCTGGAAAACACTAACACGAACCCAAACTAGAAAATAACCGGTTGCAACTACAAGTATTCCAATAATATGCTTAAAGTGATGCTAACTAATAGCCACAAATTAACTAACATAGAGAAAGAGACAAGAAAACGGGAGGTACCAACTCCCGATGGAAAGAACCTGGAAATATGACTTGATGCACCCGGTGATGCTCCACTCTACTCGCCCGTATGTCTCGCGCTTGCCTGGACAGCCGCAACAATTCTCGCGAATATAACCTGGGTGCTTTGGAACCCGACGTCCAGCCCTTTGTGACTGCCAAATGGCCTGCTCTGCTACGCTTGCCCGGTGCACCTCCTGCCTGTCACCAAACAACCACCAAAAGTGCTACCTGAAACACGCACAACAAACCACGAGACCAAGAAAAGGAGTGGACTGTCACCGGAACGGTCGCCGGAAAACAGTGCCAGTCCGAGAAATAGTGGTGCGACGAGAAAAGGTTCGGAAAATGGGAAACACAGAGTAGGGTGGTGTGGTTGGGCCGGAAAAGCAGAAGAAAAACGAGACGGCGCCGGTGGTTCGCCCGTCGCCGGCCTAACTGCTGCTAGGGTTAAAAGAAAGGGGAAGAAAGAGAGAGACGCGGGGAGGGAGAAAGGAGAGAGAAAGAGAGGGACGAGTAGTTACCTGGTTTACCTAGACGAGTGCCGGCGCGGGGATTTGCCGGTGGAGATGTTACCAAAAATTCTTTTTTAAAAATTATTTTTGACAAAAGCAATTCTCAAAATAACATGATTTTAGAACCTTGCCAAAATTCTACATTCTCTTCTCCCTTTTGTCTTATAGAACTTAAACATCAATTCCGTCCAGCAAGCTTGCGATTCCCTTCACTCCGACGAGTAGGTAAATCGATCTCTCTTCCTCTCTCTCTCCTTTCCCCTTTCCCCGATTTCTCCCCAAAATATACTTAGGGTTCCGCTACTGTATCGAACCCTAGATTTTTTATTTCATTTATGTAACTGAAGGCAATTCCTTGATCCTTGGTGTTGTAAAGAAAACTCAGCAATAGTAGGAAAAGGATTTTGGGGGTTTAGAAACCAAATCCTTGTAAATACCAAATTCCAGTTGTAGAACTAGTTAAACTCGTTTCCATATTCTTTCTTTTGTTTCATGTTTCTTTTCCTCTTAGAGAAGGGATTGACTTTGTTTTAATTAACAATTTGATGTTTTTGCACTAGATATGTAGGTTTAAGATGTGCATAGTTAATTGATTGGATAGAACTATTTTATGATGTTTAACCTAACTTGTATGTTATTTTATTTGGAGGTAAGTTTATTTCAGAGTAATTTTACTCTCGTTATGTTTCGATGGACCAGCATTCTATGTTTGTCTTGCATTTGAAAAATAGAAATAAGTCTAACAATTTCTCTCTCTCTCTATATAGATAGATATATATGTTAATTCAATGGTGTTACCGTTGAATTAAGAGGATAGTAGATACCCACTTGCTGCTATGAATGAGGTGTATTATTAGCTTGCTAATCTCATTTTGAACTCAGAGACTGAGAATTATGTATTCATCATTTTAAGTTTCCTCTGTAAATCTTGAGTAGCACTAGTTTCACATATAGTTTTATCTGCTTTTACCAATCCTCTAGGCATCTGATAGTTTTCTTGATAAGTAATAAAGAATTTTATTTGTTAAATAAAAAGGACTAAGTTAGTGCCAAACATAGTTACAATTATATCATTGATGTACTTGTTGTAACAGTAGAGAGCTTTCTGTCAGAATTACACACAGCTTTTGTAACTCATATTCTTCTTCTTTTCTCGGTATAAAATATCTGGTTCATGTCTGCTCTTTATTGCGTGCTTTTGTCATGTGTTAGTTAGGTAAATGCTCTTTTCAAAATAAGATATTAAATTGGATCTTAAGGTCAGATTTGTATAAGTTACAATTGAACGATCTTTTTTAAATGTTTCTTTGGACTGAATCAAGCTGTTGCAACTACGATACTTATGTTCGCATTGAATGTTGCAACCATAATACTCATGTCCACTTCTCCTATAATCAAAAGATGTTTCTCTAGTTCCCAGAAGTACTATGTGGCAGAATTTATGATATTTTTTTTCAACCATAATCAACAATTGATATTTTGAATTTAATACTCCTTGTAAAACTTGTCTTGATAGGTTATCATTTCTTTGCTATAAGGAGATATTGATATAGGAGGCAGTTAAGCTTACACCCAATATTCTTTGACCATTAAGAAACTGAAGTAAGTTCTCTATGTGAGATTATATTCTAGTCTATTTGCATGTTATTTTAATTATTGAGAGACATTGCAATCTGTTAGAATTTTGTAGAGTGAGAATTACATATTTACCAATTCCTTTGATTACAAGACTTAATATTTTTTTTAAGAGCCATGATATTGATGCATGATAAGTATGTTAGAATTTTGATTTGACTTGGTATTTCTAAAACTGATTTCAAGCCCCAATTGCATTTCAGGACCAAACAAATCGAGAAACCATAAGAAATGATGAGCTCAGTAGCGAAACATGTATCCACCATCTTCAATCGACCGAACGTAGCCTTGTTGAATCCACTAAGTTGGGAGCAGCAGCTACAACAATGGCGGGGCATACGGGTGAAGGTGCGGAACAACAACTTAGACCAAGCACTGTTCTTGATGCAGAGGAAAAGCAGTCAAGCGGAATGGAACGCCTCATAAAGCGTGAACAGCTTCACCATATCAAGAACTCGGAGAAGCGCATCTTGGCTCGTAAGCTCTTGAACATAAACTCCGTTCTCAAGACCTTGCTCGTAAGCTCAAATCCATCCTCATCAAGAAAGTTAGGTATAAAAAACAAAAAAAACGAGTAATTTTCGACTTGGAGCGAAATAGTTATAGAGGTTTCATATAGGCTCGTGGTGGATGTAGCCCTTTGGTTATGGGTTCATCCAAACCCAATATTTTTGACTTGGAATATAAATATGTATGTGCATACCTACTAAAGTTTCAATAACTATTATATCTGAACTCATAATTTTAGAAGTGCAATGAGTTCAATGCTAAAATATTTAAAGGTCAAATCCATCAAGTTTAAATCCTAGATCCTCCTTTGATATAGCTGAACCCACTAGTTTGGGATTGAGGGTGTAGGTGTTGTTTATGATGTTGCTAAAGTAAGGAAACGTTACTGGGAAGACTAAGCTAACGTTTGGCCATAAATTCTAAATTTATTTTGAAAAATCTGATTTGGGTGAAGTTTGGTTTGAAGATGAAAATGTGTTTGGACATATGTTTTCAAAATATATTTTCCAACTTTATTTTGGAAAAACATGTATATACTTTCCAAGTTTGGGAGTTTGGCCCAAAATCAACAATTGGGGTGATTTTGGAATTTGGGGATTTGCCAAAATGTGGGCAAAATTTATGGCCAAACATGAGTTTTGAAAATAAATCCTAAATTTATTTTGGCAAAATTCATGGCCAAACGGGGCCTAAGAATGTTGTGGATTTTATTAGTGCCAATGATGGACCGTGTTGGGGAGATAGCAAGCTGGTGTTATGATAAGCACAAGCTAAATGACATGGACTGATTGCTGATATTGACTAGAATTCACAGAGATAGTTCTATTCCTCAAGGAGGGCATTGGAAAAAGTAGAAAAATAGCAACTTGAGAACTTGTAGCTGGCTAAGTTATGCTATGATAGTGTAGGAAAGATTGCAATGCTCTAAATGGATCATATTGGGAATGGAGCAAGCTGCTTTTATGTTAATCACATGCTAAATGGCATGAATTGATTGCTGATGATGACTAAAATTTGCCGAGATAGTTATTTCCCTCAATGAGGGCAAAAGAGAAAGAGAGAAGTTGACTAATTTTTGCTATGATGTGTAGAAAAGATTACATTTATCTCAGTGCGAAAGGATTGGCTTCGTAATAAGCTTCAACTGCTTAGAGCGCATTGTTGCATATGGGTGGTTTACTGTGAGGACTTCCAGTTCGCCCTACCTTCTGCGCACAAGGTTTAGTTTAGCTTATTTAAGATGGGTGAAAATTTTAACTAATGTTTAGTTGCCGAGGAATTTGATTGACTCATATTAGTGAACAATCTCCAATTTTTTGTACGCGAGTTTTTTTTAATGAAGTAAGAAATTTCATTGATAAGTGTTGAGACATAATTAAGTAAATAAAAAACGTGTCCTCTCTAACAACTTATATAATTAAGCTTTTAGATGAGATGGTCACACGCTTCAACATGGTTTCATAGTAGCCAGAGATCCTAGGTTCGAGTGTCACTGCCACCAATATTAAAAGAATTTTTATGTGCTTGACTCATCTAAAAGAATCAAGCCCGCACGTGAGGGGACGTGTTGAAGACATAATTAAGTAAATAAAAAGTGTTTTCTCTCTTACCACTTATGCTTTTAGATAAGATAGTCACACACTTCAATAATAAGCATCCAGAAGATGCAAATAGTTACAAAAGGGAAATTAGGTCCAGTAGGATGACACTAGGTAAAGCTTAGGGAGCTAACACAATCTACGATCTGTTCGATACCATTCACATTGTATGAGTTGCTCCAACAAAAAAGCTTTAAAAGACACCTAACATTTAAGGAGTGAATGGAAGTTGAGATTCCATCGAAGCATCTACGGTTTCTCTCTGTCTAGGTACACCAAAAAAATGCATGCAGAACCATTATCCAGCATACCCCAAAAATACACCAGAACGTGCTCCAAATATCTCTTCTACTTTACAATGGAGAAAAAGATGGAAGACATTTTTTGCTTTCGACTGGCACATGTAACACCTATTGCACAGTTGAATGCCTCTTTTGCCAAGGTTATCTCGACTCAAATAAGGTTGCCAAAGGGTTGTCCCTGTTTAAATATGCGAGTGCATATCTAATGTAACAAAAGGTGGGGGTAAAAGGAGTCAAATACTAAAATCGTAATGCAGATAAGATCTAAATGTGTGCAATGTTTGCAGTTTATTTAATCACTGAACTACTCTAGTGCCTTGTCATTGGGTGTATTTTACATAGTGATGACTGAAGGGCAATTTTTTTTTATGGGTAAATAATATATTATATAAATATTTGCACTAAGCTAGTGCAACAGGCGTAATTACAGGTTGTGTAAATCAGCAATTGCGTCTAAAATATCATCTACATCTGGTTTGGAATTAAATATTTCTTTTGTATGGTTTATAATACAATGATTTAAGAAGTTGCACTTTACACTATTTACAAAAGGGAAGAGCTCAGGTGTAAACATCAGAAGTAACCACATTTTCTAACGATACGTGAAATTCATAGGTGTTGAATTGAGATAAGTTCCTTAAGTTGAGATACAATGTATGCAAGTGTTTAGATTCTCTTATCTTTGTCATGTCGTTATTCCAAATTTGAATACGCTAGCTTCAGAGTTTAGGATCTCGCGTGCATTTCACTTAAATGAAGGGATTGGGCACATGGAGAAATGCAAGCACTATGTAGTCTATTTGTTCAATCTTTCTGTCTTAGAACTAGCATTCGTTCACAAAATGACTAAAATGATTCCGTTGAACATTAGCCATTTCTCGTCCTCGGTCACTGCTCATTGGATGTAGGGGATATTAGACATACCAGTCTGTCGTCGGTGCTCTTGTGCTAGACTCACCCCTCCAATTGAAGGGCCAAAAGTTGAGTGGTGCATGGAGAGTGAACTATAGGGCCCGAAGGGATATGAAGCTGAAATGTAGGGTGAGTACGAAGTCATGGGTATCTAGCAAAGCTAAAAAAAGGAGGCTAGGAGCTTTTTGTTCTTGGAAGGAAGTGTACTTTTTCCTAGTTTTTCTTACTGAAGATCATGAGTTACTCATGTTGTTGGAATAAGACTAAGAAAGGATTATCTTGTTCATCATTGTACTCTAAAATATTAGAGGCAACAGAAAGCATGGTGTCCAAGGACAAAACTAGACACCGGGTGAAGAATTTCTCCAAAAATGGCATCTAATTGTTATCCACACCACTGAGCAAAAGAAAAAAAGGATATATTGGGAAAGAAGATATGTGCACTCAGCTGTTTTCTTTAGCTGACCGATGTAATCCTTTTTGTCTCACTCTAATTGGGCACAAGCTTAATAGTAGAGCATGAAAATACTGGGGAGATTTTTTTTGATGAAGTAATGTATTGTATTAAAAGGCATCAAGAAGATGCAAAAGGTTACAAAATAAATCTTGGTTAACTCCATAGGGCAAAAAAATTCTAGAACCTTGAGTTAACCAAGAGCAAAAGCAATGGTTCACTAAACCATTGAGAGAGAATTAAGGAAGTCTAAGAGAGGAATAATATCATTTACAGGGGAAAGGTTACTCCAACTAAAAAGACTCATTAAACATTTTGACTTCAGTTGTCCGTTGGAAGTTGAAATGCCATCAAAACATCTTCGATTCCTCCCTGTCCATAAACACCAAAAAATACATGCCGGGATCATTTGCCAGATCTTCTTGATGGATCTATCAACTTCCCATAGGCTCCAACTAAGTATTGCTTCCCTTATGGTGTGTGGAATTGTCCAGCTGATACCAAAGAGAGCAAAGAACATGTTCCAAAGATCTGATGCCACTGTGCAGTGGAGTAGTAGGTGATTAACTGACTCAGAGTTTAGCCTGCACATGCGGCACCTATTTGCCAGCTGAAAATTCCTTCTACAAAGGTTATTCTGGGTCAAAATAGCTTCATAGAGGGCTGTCCAGGAGAAACACTTTACTTTTGTTGGTAGCTTTGTCTTCCATATTAGCTTCCATGGCCAAGATTCAATCGTATCATTCGAGGCACTTAGCTTGCTATATCCTACCTTAACAGTGTAGATTCCTTTTTCAGAGTTGCCCCACCTTAAGTTGTCTGAGACTTGAGGATTTCCTCTAGCATCTTCAAGTGTTCTGTATAGGTCTAATAGCTGATTTAGCTCCCAATCCTGCATATTTCTTCTGAAGTGGAGATCCCATGTGTTTCCTTCTCTATTTTGTGCTATAGAAGAGTTAGGGTCAGAGGCAATCTGGTAGAGTCCTGGATGAGAATCTTTCAGGGGTTGATTGTTGAGTCATCTATCCTTCCAGAATTTAATGTTGTTGCCATTCCCAAACTTATAGGATACTTTTTGAAAGAATGCTTCTTGCAGGTTGTTGATGTGCTTCCATGGGCCAACTCCATGTGGAGCTATATTTTGCTTGGTGCACCACTTGTTTTGTACCTCATATTTGGCATTAACTACCTTCTTCCATATGCATGTTGATTCTTGAGCATACCTCCACCACCATTTCATAAGCAGACTCTTGTTGTGCTTGGTCAAGTCTCTGATTCCCAAACCACCTTGGTTTTTGGCATGATCACTTTTGGCCATTTCACTAAATGGAATTTATGACCTTCACTGTTTCTTTCCCATAGGAATGATCTCCTAATTTTGTCCAGTTCTTTCTGCACCTTACTTGGCATAGGGAAGAGGGACATAATGTAGGTGGGGATACTGTCTATAACATTGCTGATTAAAGTTAGTCTACCACCCATAGATAGATACTGCATTTTCCATGTTGCCAATTTTTTCTCCGCCCTATTACTCCATTCCATATCTCTGTTGCCTTGTATTTTGCTCCTAGCGGGAGGCTTAAGTAAGTTGTAGGAAGTGAGCCTATATTGCAACCCATTAAGTTAGCCAGTTCCTCCAAGTTAGGGACCTCATTCACTGGTAGATCATGCTCTTCAACATATTGATGTGCAACCCCGAGATTGCTTCGAACAGAAATAGAGTCAAGTTTAAGAATTGCAACTGAGATCTCTCTGCTCCACAAAATATTAAGGTAT